CAAGACTTGCTGTGGAGTGTAACCCTGCCCGACTTCATGTCACACAATTTTCACCACGTTACCGACAAACCCTCAAATGACAGTGGACGAGATATGAATTTTCATGCTTATCAGTCTTTTGTGTCACGATAACAAACCTCAGTTACCGGGTCAAGTGTCCACGCTCTTTGCTCAGGTACTTATTTACCTGATTGTATGTTTTTATTTCAACAAGTTAACTAGGGTTGAACTTTAAAAAAAAAAGATTTCCTGATACAAATCGATTTTAACTTGAATAACGCAATATTGAAGAATTAAATCCCGACATCGATTTTTAAATATAAATGTGTTTTGAAACTCCAGAATCAGCTTAAAGCTCACAAAAGAAAGACCAGGTCAACGATTCCACTAAAACGTGGAAACACGTTCACAGGTTTTGTCTCCGACCAAGATAGCCTCCCGCGTCCCCCAGCTCTGTGGAGTGTTTTATACAGGCCTGTATCAGGGTCAAATTCAAGCACCTTTTAAGGTTCATTTTCAAGCACATTACCAAAAAAAAAAAATAGATGTTTCACGTCACATCACCTCAGTAAGACCATGTGAAATTTAAAGCAAAACACCCTCGGCTTAAACACCTTTGTTGCCCTTTGTTAAAAAGCAACTCAAAACACACATTTAGCTTAAAATTAAGATGTGGAAATACGAACAAATCAACTTGTTAGAGATATTCATCTCCTGTTGGAAACAACAACCCAACAAAACAAGAGACCTGTACCAAACGCCACAAAATAACACACAGTCAGGCCAAATGAAAAAGTCTTCTCAGCAGATACTGATGCTTCTTTACTGTGTGACACTCAACATAAAACTGTAAGATGTTTAACTACACTGCTGTGTGTGTTATTGTCCTAAATGATCACCTTGAAAGTGTTTGTGCTAATAACATCATGTATAGTAAACAGGCAGGGAGAAAAGCTCTGACTCGGAGGGGCTGTGAACACATGACTCACTCAGTTCATTCGACATAGGAGACTTTAAGAATGCACGAGCATCGAAAACCTGTTCATTTAATCTATCATCTGTAATATTATTATGTACAGCCATCATGTATTATCTCCCTTAAATAAGCAGGCAGCCTTAAAGTATGAAACATATGTGTCTCCTGATAGTGCCCACAGGCCTCAGTGTGAGCATGTTTCATGTGTAGGTGCTCACAATAAACACGTTTTGAATGAAGGCCGGGGAACTTCTGGAGCACAAAAACATGTCAACTCTGCACGTATGGATCGTATTACCATTGTTTCCCCCTGAGGTGTTGCCAAAGACACTGAGTTACATAAATCACCATAACTAACTGCGTAGCGCTGCTGTATTGCATCACACTCAGTGCACTTCAATCACTTGTCCAGTGAGTTTAATAGCTAGCAAAAAAATAATAATAACTTTAAAAATTAGCATGCATAATGTAAACATACTCAAACACTCATTAAAACGGCAACCCGGAGTAATGTTAGTGCACCCACCCACGTTGGGGGGGGAGGCAGACTGACATGCAGAGGTGCAAGCAGCCCCAGGCGGACAAACTTGCGACTCATTATGTCTCTATGTGATAAGAAAAGTATTCAGACAGTTATTTGTGCTGAATGAAAAACAGTTTGCAGCTGTTCTAAGCACCACAACTGAAATCTTTAAACCTTGAAAAGACATTAAAGTCCACGAATTTTCAAGGGTTTCAAGCACCTGCACGAACCCTGTTCGTAAACTGTTGATGATGAGTCTGCACGTTCAGCAAGAGACTGAGATTACCCATAATGCATCACTGAACGACACAGGAAATCTTTTCTGCCCGTGGATATAACTGAACTCCTCCACCTAACACACAGCTCACAGTGCAGCAGCAACAGCCTTTTGCAGTAAAATAACAAAGTTTCCCAGGTTAGAGTAAAATGTTGATCGTATATATTTTACCTCTGTAATATTTATAACTGAGCTATTTCTTATATTTTGTAAACTTTATAAAATATTGTAATTTGTCTGTTACTGTTATTGTCTTGAAGCGACTGTAAACTAGGGTTGGCGATTGGAAGAATCTATCGATTATCAGCCTATTGCCCATCGTTTTGATTTATTTGCCCATGAGTAAGTTTGCCAATAATGATGGCGCTAATAGATCCAGTCAACAGAAATAACAGCCCCCTCCTCAGAGAGCGCCAAACCCTTGTTGACAGAGCTGCAGAAGCTGCTGATAGCCTAGCATTCTCAG